GTCAGATAGCCATGGATCCGTAAAGCTGGGCTGCGGAGTCACATAAGGTATGTCTACACTGCAGGGTTTTCCCGGAAAAACAGCTGTTTTTCTGGAAAAACTACACTTATGGCCACACTGTTATGGTGTTCTTTTGACAGAAAGTTGAAAGAACAGAAGGGTTTTTCCAACAGCGCTAAACCTCTTTCTACGAGGAAGAAGCCTTTCTCTGAAAGGGCTCTCGCAAAAAGATGTGTGGTGACATGGAAGAGGCTTTTTTATCGAAAGAAGAGGCCTCCAGGAAATAACACTGGCCACTCTGGCCAAAGTAATCGGAACTCTACAGTTCCTGTCTCCTGCCAGCTCTTAAAGCTGTAGGCACCCTGGACAAGCCTTGTGGCAGGAAGCTGGCCCTGGGAACAGCACCTCACCGCATGGCGCTCCCTGCCACAGGCAATGCCACCCACGGCCCAGCCACAACCCCCTCTCCAAATCCCACTGGCCCTCACAGGGAGTAACTTCAGGGCTCCCAGGACCCTGCCAGGGCAGCAAATTGCATGCTCCCTCCTGGTCCGGAGCGGAGATCCTGTCCCTCCTCAAGGTGTGGGGGGAGTAGGAGACCCTGCAGGACCTCCACTCCTGGTGCAGAAATGCCTAAATCTATGGCCAAGGCCCTGGAGGACAGGGGACACCCACCCCGCACCTTAGAACAAGTCGGCTACGTCTAGACTGGCATGATTTTCCGCAAATGCTTTTAACGGAAAAGAGCGTCTAGACTGGCACGGACGCTTTTCCGCAAAAGCACTTTTTGTTGAAAAGTGTCCGTGCCAATCTAGATGCTCTTTTCCACAAAAAAGCCCCGATCGCCATTTTTTGCGATTGGGGCTTTTTTGCGCAAAACAAATCTGAGCTGTCTACACTGGCCCTTTTGCGCAAAAGGACTTTTGCCGAACGGGAGCAGCACAGTATTTCCGCAAGAAGCACTGATTTCAGACAGTAGGAAGTCAGTGTTCTTGCGGAAATTCAAGCGGTCAGTGTAGACAGCTGGCAAGTTTTTCCGCAAAAGCAACTGCTTTTGCAGAAAAACTTGCCGGTCTAGACCCAGCCGTCCAGAGTAACATGAAGGCACTCCACCAGGGCTACGCCAGGGCCAAGGAGCACAGCTCTCACTCAGGGCAGGACCCCACTCCTGCCCCTACTACCAGGAGCACCACCAGATCCATGGTGGTGGACTCGGGGCTCAAGCCGCCCATCATCGCCTGCCCAGAGCTTGTTGAGGAGGAGGACAAGGGACAGCAGGGCAGGAGGAAGATGACACAGTCAGTATGCTCACCCTCACCCTCGAGCTGGTATCCCCAGGGCCTGGAGGTGTCACAGGCATCTTCTGACTGTGGGGAGGGATCCTCATGTAAGTGCTCTCAGTTTTCCACACACACAGGGTGGGGGAGGCAGATGCAGAGGGGATGAGGTGCAATCATCACTCGGCCTGGACATCATGCTGTAGTTGGTGCACGTGCAAGCACATGTGGTGCCAGTCTGCACCACTTGGCCTTAGGCGGCAGCCCCGGAACACCCCAAGGAATCTGCTCACAGGCACTGGGGAGGCCACACACACACCTCTGACCCTCTGGGGGGAGGGGTGCCCTCCCACCACTGGAAGCAGACTGGAGACAAAGGCACAGGCACGACCCCCCATACAGACACAGGAGTGCCGCATACAGCAAATGGGCATACCTGCCCTTGCAAGGCACCACCCGCTCCCATGGACAGCGCTGCCAGGCACAGGTGTGTGTATGGGCCCCATGGAGGGCCAGGCTGCTCCAGGCACCGCTCCCGCCCATAGGATCCCACTGTGGATGGACACTTCCCTTGCCTCCTTGTCCGTGGGGTGGGGAGTGGGAAGCATGGTCCCTTGGGCACCTCAGGGACTCTGTGAGGCAGGGCCTGCTGTGCAGGCCACACACGGCCTTGATTCCAGGACATCACTGTCCTCTGGTCCAAGGACTGTTGGTTGCTGCTCACAGAGGAGGGCACGGCTTCAGGGACAGTGTCTGTGTGGATGACTGATCTCCTCTCCCTCTTTGTTCTCCACAGCTGGACCAGCCATCGCTGAGGGCCAACCGAGGCAGCCACCCAACCCCAGGGGAGCCACAAGCTCACAAGGGGGCACGAGGACCTTCTGAGGCAGCACGTGGGCGTCCTGCATCGGGAAAGGTGAGGGGAGAGACCCACCCTCACACAGCCCTGCTGCTGGGGGAAAGGGTCTTGCGCCCGCACACAGGGAGAAGGTCTCGATGAGCTCCGTGTCGAGCTCGTGCAGGGCCATGAAGGCAGCCTGCACAAACTGCTGCAGAAAGTGCAGTATGGCCATGTGGGGGCCATCGCATGCTCGGGGCAGTTCAGGCTCCATGTGAAGAATGCTATGGCGTCCAAAAGCCAAGAACCCACTGCTACAGCAGTGTTGGCTCTCAGAGCGGGCGGCAAGCACACAGCAGAAGCAGAGACACGGCTGTACGGGGTGTGTGTGTGTCTGTCTCTCTCTCTCTTTCTCTCTCGCTTTCTACCCTTCTCCCCTGCCCTTTAAGCGCGTCTCTCAGCTAGGCTTAGGCAACAGCACACGGAAGCAACTGCTGACCTAATGCCCTGCCTGGATTGGTTCCACGTGCCCTCATATGCAAGATAGCGTCCAACCAATGTGGACACTAGCTTTCAAAAAAGCAGATTGCTTTTTCGATACACTTTTGCTGTGTAGACGCTCGCTTTTGAAAAAGTTTTTCCAGAAGAGCTCTTCTGGAAAAGCTTCTTTCGAAAGAAGCTTTCAGGCTAGCCATAGCCATAGTATGCAAGTACTGGATTAGCCCTGTTTTGAAGATAGCCTTTCTGCGTTAGTTTGGCCATGTGACTTGACCAAGGTCACCTCAGCCATTAGTGTCACCACTTTGGAAGCCCTTTCTTAATATGCTGAACCATGTAGCTGTGTGCTGTAGTGAGCTGCATCGTCTTGTGGCCAGGGTCAAACAGACAGACTAAGCTCTTGCACCACTGATGGGAATTTGGGTGCACTGCCTGCAGGTGAATCTGGGAGCCCCCACAATACTCAGTGTGCCCCCAGATCCTAAAGGCCTGGCTGCAAAATTGATTTAAATAGTTGGTTTCAATGCTCCCGAGGCCTAATGCACTGAGCACTATAATAAGATTTCGCCAATGAAACAAATGATAATTGATTCTTTCTCTGGATTAACGTGGTTGAGCTTTGAGCCCAACTCTGCTATGGACTGGCAAATATGAACCTAAAATAAACTAGATAGTACTAGCCTGTAAGGGTGAGCTGATGTCTCAGAACTGTGGTGATTGGTGTTCTAGGTAGTCCTTGTTAAAAGACTGAGACAAACCTGGATATTACTTGTGCCCTAAAATACTAGAGATTTTTTTGAAGCACTAGTGAAAACACAAAATTCCAGTGAGCCTGATAAGGCTCCTTTTCCTCCATACAGAACTTGCCAGAAAGGTGTGACCAGCCAGTAGCTATTGGTCTCCCTGGCTGTGTCTACACTACCAGGTTATTTTGAACTAACAATCAACGAAATAAGGTTATTCCTCGTCACAATCAGGTGTTGTTATTTTTCAGTAACAGGCTTGGTAGTGTGGATGCTTGCCTTGTTATTTTGAAATAAGGGAAGTTATTTTGAACCAACTCCTCCGTGTAGACCTGCCCTCTGCTCCCTCAGGATCGTGACAGTTGAAGCTGATTTTCTGTAGACGCATGAGATATGGAGGTGGAAACAAGCACTTTATTTAACTAATCATTATGGTTCAATTAAAAAAAAAAAACTTCAGCAGATAAAATTTATGATGAGTTTACAGGAACACAAGCTAAAAGTTGTAACAAAAAGTTTCTCAAATATTCTGAATGAAAAAATACTGAAATCATGTACAAACTCTAGCTGGACTCTTCCCCAGTAGCACAGATTAAACAACTGTGGAATAAGAGATCCTCCGGAAAAGGGCTTTTTTCCGGAGGATCAGGGCCAGTGTAGACGCTCTTTTCCGGCTTTTCTAAAAGCCGGAAAAAAGCGGCGGACATTTTTATTTAAATGCCGCGGGGGATATTTAAATCCCCCGCGGATTTCCCTATTACGACCTGTGAAATTAGCATGCCCCTTTCGGAAAAGGGGCCAGTGTAGACGTAGCCGGGCAGTTTGACAACACTGAAATTAATACCGATCAGAAGAACTAGTCTTAGTTTATCCTAAAAAACGAAGTTAATTTTGGAGCAGATTTTTATACAGATATTTGTGGTTAGGATGTGCCTGGGATGAGTGATAGCCAGAGGCTCTATATACAGAACTATAACTAATACATTTCAAGCCAAAGTAAGTTACCTATGGAAAAAAGTAGAGAAAGCAGCATTGCCTAGAAGTCACAGTCCCTGTTGATGTGACAATAGCTAATGGACAACAGCAATGAAACAGAGTTCCTTCTGGCTGCTCTAAATACAGACTTGCACTAAAAGAACCCAACTGTGATTTACAGCTGCTTAGATTGGTGCATGTCGTTGTAGAGTAGTCCTGATCCTGAGAGCTGCTGGGTGCCCACAACTCTGGCACAGAGTCAAAGTTCAGGTCTGTTCTCCCTTAAAAAGTGAAATTTTTAAGAAGTATCATGGCAGGTCAAGCTAGAATGAATCAAAAGCACAGCATAAATCATAGCAAAATCCGTCCCCTATCTCTCCTCTGCCCGCCCACCAACCCAAACTAATTCTTTTCCTTCCATATTTTGTTTTACTCTCTGATAATGGGAATTCTTGCTCTCAACACTGAACAGACACAGCAACCAACCCCCAAAGCAAATCAATAACACATGCCCCTGTGAAGGAAGACTGAACGAACTGGGCTTCTTTAGTTTGGAAAAGAGAAGACTGAGAGGGGACATGATAGCGGTTTTCAAGTATCTAAAAGGCTGTTACAAGGAGGGAGAAAAATTGTTCTTTGACCTCTGAGGATAGAACAAGAAGCAATGGGCTCAAACTGCAGCAAGGGAGGTTTAGATTGGACATTAAGAAAAACTTCCTAACAGGGTGGTTAAACATTGGAATATGTTGTCTAGGGAGACTGTGGAATCTCTATCTCTGGAAATATTTAAGAGCAGGTTCAATAAATGTCTATCAGGGATGGGCTAGATAGTACTGGGTCCTGCCATGAGGGCAGGGGACTGGACTCAGTGACCTCTCGAGGTCCCTTCCAATCCTAGTATTCTACGATTCTATGCAGCCTTGTTGCCCCACTTTTTCCCAGAAATCAACACAGGAGAGGGTCTGTGCCAATGTTGAGTGGCAGGGCCTGCTCAGAGACTATTCACCTGATGGGCAGGAAAGCCTGACATTAAAGTTTTTAGGCCTGTGGAAGAGTCTCCCAATGTGGGTCACAGAAATGCCACCACTTGGGATGGAGGCTCCCAACCTGACCAAAGCCCCAGGAAAGATGCAACAGGAGACACTTCCACACTGGTAGGAGGAAATGAGCTGGCTGCCTTACAGGCCTCTTCTTCTTCCAGATTCTGTGGTGCAGTCAGAGCAGTGTCCAGTCCTTTGGATGGAGCAGAATGGTAAGTACCATGCAGCTACGTATCTGAGTAACTGCGACATACTCTAATAGTCTTCATCTTTTACATAACTTTCATTAAACTCAGACCTGTAGTTCAGTAAAGGCAATCAGGCTATATTTCTTCTGAGCACTTTGAGAAATGGCACAGATGAAATTGCGCTCTTTCATTTCTCTGACAAATCTCGCTGTCTTTTAGAGTCTCCTATATATCACTCTCTAAGGGCCTAGTTTTCTTGTCGGTTTAACACATGAGGCTCCCATAATCGGCTCCTCCAGTGGGGAGGGTGCAGTATCAGAATCAACTTACTAGGGTCCCAGGCTCCAGCCCCTTTGCAATGGTAGCTACGTAAAGTCAGTGTTTGCCCAGGGCAACTGCAAACCACTTCTCCATATACTTAGCACAGGGAGTAACTATGTGATAGCAGTTGGCAAGAACTTGCTCTTTGAATGGTGGCCTTCAGAACTCTTGTTACGGAGAGGAGGGAAGTGGTAGGGATGATACTGTGGGGCAGAGTTGGATCCTGAGCCAAGGGCACTTGATATGATGCTGGCCAGGAACTATCTCTGCCTCATGCCCAGTTCTTTCCCCACTAGAAGGTGCTGACAGAAGTGATGGTGTCCGATTCGATCCCACTGCTCTTCCTTGTCACATCAAGGATCTCCTGCAGAGTCTCTTGGCTTATGCAGCCCAGGTCCCGGAGGATCCGGAAGAAGTCATTGCGGAACTTGACTCCGACAAAGGCATAGAGGACAGGGTTGAGACAGCAATGCGTGAAGCCTAACACTTCTGTCACTATGATGCTCATGCTCAGACGGTCTGCCAAGCCACAGTTGTTTGGTATGATTTCCAGCTTGTCTAGTGTGTCCAAAAAGATGACAACATGATAAGGGCTCCAACAGAGTAAGAACACTCCTGTGACCAGAATAGCCACTCTTACAGCCTTCTGCCTTTGCAGTCGCTGGGACTGGCATAGGGCCCTCACAATGGCTGAATAGCAGTAGCACATGACCAGCAGGGGCATTAAGAAACCCACAATGTGATACAGGAAGCGGGTTGCCAGCCACATGTTGCTGCCATGAATCCCAGCTTGCTGTAAGCTGCACACAGTTTGATTATTGTATAACCAGACTTCCATTAGCACTAGATCAGGCAAGGTCAGCACCAGGGAGATGAACCAAATGGCCATGCAGGTGAGGTGGATAGACCTGACTCTGCGATTCCTGTAGGTATGGATAGCATACACTATGGCCAGGTAGCGGTCCACACTGATGCAGCCCAGGAGCATGCTGCTGCAGTAGAAGTTGATCTTGTGGATAGCACTGAGGACTTTGCAAAGGAAAGTGCCGAAGATCCAACCAGTCAAGCTCTCGGCCACGCCAAAAGGCAAGGTGAGCACTAGCACCAGATTGGCCAGGGTTAGATGAAAGAGGAAGTTCTCGGTGGTAGTGCGGGCACGCTTGTAACGCTCCAGGATGATCAACACTAGGGCATTGCCCAAGGCTCCCAGAAGGAATATCAGCACGTAGATTACGGGCACAAAGATCTTTTCAAAAGGGTGTGGGGGATCACCAGCCAGTGACGACTGTGTATCAGGGCAAAAGTAGTCCTCATAGGATCTTGTGGTGGTGTCATTGTCGTAGTCAGTGAATTCTCCCCCAAAATTCTGCAGAACAGGAGAAGAATCCTGTTAACAAACTGCATTTTCTGAACAGCCAAAATACAGTCAACACCATTCCCCAGGAGAAAGCCCAGCTATTACATGGGAAATACCAGATGTCTCTGGACAATAGCCAGCACCAGATACTACAGAGGAAGGTGCAGGAAATTTCCAGCAGCAGATGTAGGATAATCTGCCATCAGTGAGGATCTCATCCTGATCTTTGATAGTTAGAACCTCCTGCTCCAGCACTTACACCAATGTCTCTTTCCCGTGCAGCACGTTTTAACATTAATTGAAATATTTCTTAATATTGTTGTTATCCATATACATATACAATCTCTTTGAACGTTATTTAGTCCGTGGCTTCAACTATTTCCTGTGGCAATGAGTTCCTCAGTCTAATCACACATTGTGTGAACAAGTGTTTCCTTTTGTCAGTTCTGCATTTGCTACCCTCAAGCACATTGACTGTTCCCTTATTATTAACATTAATTGAAATATTTCTTAATATTGTTGTTATCCATATACATATACAATCTCTTTGAACGTTATTTAGTCCGTGGCTTCAACTATTTCCTGTGGCAATGAGTTCCTCAGTCTAATCACACATTGTGTGAACAAGTGTTTCCTTTTGTCAGTTCTGCATTTGCTACCCTCAAGCACATTGACTGTTCCCTTATTATTGTGTTATATGAAAGAACACATTAATCCGATCTGCTTTTCTATTCCATTCATTATTATATAGCCTTCTATCAGGTCCCCTCTTATTCATCTCTCACTAAGTTAAAGAATCCTAGTCTTTTCCATCTTTTCATAAAGCATTTTTACAGGCCTTTGATCATTCTTTTAGCCACCATTGTGTTGCTCACTTCACCTAGCTTGGTTGTATTCCTCTAATTTTTCTGTCATTTTTCTACCATGTTATTGTTATATTCTATTCCCAAAGACTTCCTCTGACTTGGCTGTAGAGTGATTACAAACCATGCTGTGTTTGAGATCGAGGATGTATTGCCCTGCAGTGTGATTCCACATGTGTCTGAGCTCTTTGAGCTGAACAACTGTTGGGGTTTGTGATAGCATGTCCATGCCCCATGTGTAGGCTGTGATGCTGCCACCCAAAGTGAGATCAGCATTGGGAACACTGCTGCAGCTTGGCCCATGGAGTGAACTGTACACAGGCAGTGGAAATGGGAGGGCCATTGTATTCTACTTCTTAAAACCTGGCTAGGAGGAAGCATATTGTACCTGGCCTAGTGGCAGCTGGATTCTGCTCTACCTCGTGGAACGTGCAACACACTAGTTGGATCCTGTTTGGTGTTCTCTTGCATGCCTGCATCTCGCCTCTCATCCGTTGGCAGCTGAAACCATAGCAGTGGTGTCTAAGGGCCAAGGTCTAGCCAGGTTTGGGAAGTAGGACAGATCCACTACATAAGGGCATGTCTACATTAGGAAATTATTTCAAAATAACTCCCGAAATAACTATTTCAAAATAGCATGTCCACACTACAGGGAAGCCTCGAAATTAGTCTGAGGCAGGTTCTCTTAATGTGGATGCACTACCTCGACTTAGAGCCTCAGCAAACACTGGGGAGCAATTACTCTCAATGAGTCTGGGGAGTAGTTATTTCAAAATAACAGCAGTGGAGCATCCACACTACCACTTTGAAATAAGCACTATCATCATGGAAAGCAGGAGTCACTATTTCAAAATAATCATCCCCATTATTTCAAAATAGAATAGACGCTCCACTTGTTGTTTCAAAATAAGGGGAGTTATTTTGAAATAACTCCCTAGTGTAGACCAGGGCTAAGTGCCTTGGGCTTGCCAGTAAGGAGTGAGGGGAGGCAGTGCTTTTGAGAAGATCCTGATGGTGGAAGGCTTGCTCTCCCTGCTTTTATACTCCTTTTGGCACCCATGGAGCTGTATCACACACCAAACTTTTTACCCAAAGCAGAAATCAAATCAAAGTGCTGAGCACTAGAAAGCTGTCAGCTCTGGCACAGCTCTCACAGTGGAGCATGTGCTCTGGCAGTCCTGCTCTGCTCCAGGCAGGCAATGGACAAAGCCTAAAGTTGCTCAGAAAAAGAAAAGAAAAGGGGTGGGTAGGATCATTGAAAAGAGGAACAAAGGGCTAAGCAGAGGCTCCTGGCAAATGTCAGACAGCTCAACAAACAGTAACTAAAAAATGATAAGAGTTCCCCTGCAGTCAGGCGGAGCGCTCTTCCCCCTCCCATATACCTTCTCTGGAGACTGAGACTCTTGCATTGACCACAGCGGAAGTTTCTGCTTGCTGTTTTCATACCTTTCACTGACAGCTGTAGCTGCTGCACCTGCTGTACCTTCCCCCCCATTAGCTGATAGCTCCTGGCTAAAAATACCAGCACTGCTTGAGCTGTTCTTGGTGCTATTTTTTCTTTTAGAAACATTTTGACTGTTCTGTTAAATACATGAATCTCTCCAGTCATGAGACCCTACGCCACACAGCCAAGGCAGGAACTGCCTTGCTTGGGGGACACCCCCCTAAATCACACAAACTAGCTTTTGCTATAGCAAGGCCTCTCCTAGGCCATGTGAGCTTCTCACCTGTGAACTGGTGCATTGTGGCAGATAACTGTAGCTGGTGTGCATTCGTGCAGATCTTTAAAGTATTATTTTGGAAAATAGCAAGGTCTCTCTTTTTCCCTCTCCTCATTGCCCTCACTTGCAGGGTACCCAAAGTACCAACCCAATGCTGCAGAGGTGCTCTAACCCCACACTTGACAGACCTCCTTAAAGGGGTTCTTGTTTTAAAAAGAGCCCTCAGTAGTTATGCCATCTCCAGCCCACCAGCTGCTGTTCCATTGATCTGGCACTATGAATGTGCAAGCAATTCATCAAAGGTCCCTTCTCTAAAAAGTTTATACTTTCCCTTAGCAAAACAAAATGGTGCCCAAGAGCAAGGCGCTAGGAGCATAGAAGAGAGAAAGATATTGCAGCACAACTTGGGACTACAGGGTTAATGATGAGCACAGCACAGTGTGAAAACAAAGGATAGAAACCCATCAAAATATGGGCAGTGACTACACAGTGCTAAACCGTTTCAACTGCAGCGAGTGGCTGTCAGAATCACCTTGCACTTACAACAGATGCAGCAGGCAAGCACCACTATCTGTCACCATCTCATCTCTGATAAGGTGACAGGTAGGGTTTGTGGTGGCTTTGGCTTTGTTTTTTTTTACTGTAAGCCACTCGCCCCTGGCTTGGGAAATGTGCATAGCACTGCTACTGAGCCATCCTCTCATGTACATCTCAGGCTGGGAGAGAGTAGCAAGCGTGGGTGGGAACGGACAGAGATGAGTCAAAGAGACCATCTTCATGTATTGTGAATCCAAGCTGAAGCAGGAACGGGTTGGAGTACAGCTTCAAGAGCTGCAGATAGTGACTCTCTGCTGCTGGAACAGAGAGGTGAGAGATCTTGAAGTGGCCAGTATTGTGGGTGCAGAGATTAATCTCTGTGACTGACAGGCAACATGCTGCTTCCCAACTTTAACTGGCCAAGGCCTCAAATTTGCTTTAAGGATGGATTTGCTGGGAAAACGAGTCACAAAGGCCTCTAACAGCAGAAAAAAGGATCTAAAACAAGGAAGGAAGGAAGGAATAGAATAGGAGGATTATGTAATAGTATTTCTGTTTGTCACTTGCTGTGGATATTTTTGTCTGATGGGCAACTACATGTAAAATAACACACAACTGACAAGCCACACGACACTAATTGTATGTATCTTTCCTTGCAGGAAAGGAAAGATTACATTTATTTAATGCAATCCCTCAACTTTCTGCTAAGAGACAGCCTTGTTTGTGTCAAGTACACCTAGAAAATAGAGATGGAAAAGACACATTTAGCTCTTGTTCAGACTCCCACTAATGCTGGCAGGGGGAGAGCTTTTAATTCATTTTACTCTTCATTGTAATTGCCACTCTCTCCAGTCCAAAAGTCATCTATGTTCCACACAGAGCTGGTGTTCCTTTGAGAGCTGAATATTATTTACATCAGACAAATTTTAGAGGGGTAGCTGTATTAGTCTGTAATTTTAAAAACAAGTGATCCTGTGGCATCCTAGACTAACTAAAATATATAGAATCATGAGCTTTTTGCCCATGAAAGCTCATGATTCTATAGATGTTGGTTAGTCTCTACGTTGCCACAGGACAACTCATTGTATTTACAGCAGAGAAAGTCATGATGCTGAAGCTCTGGAAAGTGTATTCACAGCCATGGAACAAATAGCACAGCACTTTAATTTCCCTGCATGAATAATTTTGTATGTCACTATTTCCCAGAGCTGGACCTGGGCAGGTTAAGCAACAAGGCACAAAACTTAGATGGTTTTCCACCAATAGGATAATTTATAATTAAAGTATAACACTGAGAATGAAAAGAAGAAAAAAATATTAGTCTAAGATTCCACTACAGAATAGGAACTGTAGCGCTTCCCCACTGGATTCTGTGTGTGGCCTCTGCACGCAGGCAGTGCTGCTACTAGGGATATGTTGCTCCCATCTTTCACTTTTTTCCATTAAGGAGTGAGCCCTGCTTTACCCCTAGATAAACTCCTGTGAGTCTTTCATTTAAATTGAGAGGTCAGGAGGGGGGCTCAAAGAAGGGAAAGTGTCATTTACCAAAAAAAAAAAAGTTTTTTCTGAAAGTTTTCACAGGATTTTTTTGCAAAACAAATCAAATCAAAATCATTCTGGGTGGGTTTGCTTTTTATGGTTTTTTTGGATGTGGATGCTGCTTTTTCACTTCTTACCTTTTTCCCCCTTCAAAGGAAACAAGGGAGAAAAAAGGTAAGAGAAAAAATAAACCAAAATAGAATTAATGTTTTTATTTGAACAGAAACGATATGATCAAAGCTGGAAAAACTTCTGAAACACTCTACTTAAATGCCAAGCTTTGTGGCAGCTCTGCCATGAACTTTCTCGCAGCATGGAACAATAGATATTGTCAATTTACATGGTTAATTAGAGAATGGAATATATAGCGTCATAATTCAAACCTAAGGTATTTGTAGCATAGCTTCTTTCCCAGTTAAAAAAAAAAAAAACCCTCTAATGTGCTACAGACCAGCTCTCAGGTAGGCTCTTCAAGGTGACCCACTCACAGAAAAGATCAAATGAAGGCAGGGATGAGAGTACAATTGTTACTGTGGGATGTACGTCTTTCACATATTTCCCAATATAATTGTAGCTTACCTAGTCACTCCTGTTTATTAAAGTGAGTGGGTCTGATTTCCCATGGCACTGCACCTTTTGCTGTCATTTACATCAGTGCATGGTGGTATAAAATACTGTCAAGTCAGGATAAGTGTGTTAAATCCTCTCTCTGCTGGTATAAAGGACTTCACAAGGTTCAGGGCAACAGACTCTCTGCATTTGTTTCTAAAAGCTAACCTAAAGAGGAGACGGATCTGATTCCCAACATGTCAGAATAAGCTTTTTGGCCACTACAACAGAGATTGCAAGTCCAGTACCCACAACAGGAGAATTATAGCTCCAACCTCTGATGAAAGCACTTTAAAGATATGGCACCAGTAATCACAGAAAGTGACAGAGGCTGGCATTCTCCTGCCTGCACCATCTTTAGCTGGTGAGAATAGTCCTAAATAAGTACTGGGGTCTAAATATATTGGTTTAAATTTTTAGCCTGAGTCCAAACTTCTCTAAACAAAGGAGGAAAAGTATGCGTTTGTGGGTGTGAGAGGTTAAAAGCCAAGCTCCTCTGCCCAGATATAATACCCATCACCACCTCCCAAAAAAATCCTTAACCTAAACTCATAAACATTACAAAAACAAAGAACCACATATGACTTACAAAATCATAGATCTTCACAGGGACATTGTAGGGCATCATTATTTGAAAGGTTCTGTTTTTCTCCTTCAGTGGTTCGGTGCTGTGACAGAGAATATCAACCAACTTTCCTTTTTGGTGAAGGGTTAATAATTTAACTGAATGGGGCGGGGAATTAAGTTCTCATCAGCGTACTGAGGTCTTCAGCTTTGCAAGGCAAATGAGCTCCAAATGACCTATTTGAGCAACAGATTAGCATCTTGCTCTATCGTCTGTGTTTTAAGCTGTTTTTTAAAGTATAGCTTTGAATAATCAAAGGTTGCCATAATCTGTAAGGGTGCATCTACACAGCACCCTTACCTTGAAATAAGCTACACAGTTTGTGCTACGCAAACTGCATAACTTATTTTGAGAATTTCAAAATAGCTTATTTTTAAATTTGGCACGGTGTAAAATAAAGCGCTATTCTGACAAATCCCTTAACTCCCCGGCTGCATCTAGACTGGCATGATTTTGCGGAAATACTTTTAACTGAAAAGTTTTTCCGTTAAAAGTATTTCCGCAAAAGAGTGTCTAGATTGGCAAATGCCTTTGCGCAAAAGATTTGCTTTTGCACAAAAGCATCCGTGCCCAGTATAGACGTGCTTTTGCGCAAGAAAGCCCGATGGCTAAAATGGCCATCAGAGCTTTCTTGCGCAAAAAATTAAGGTGCCTGGCTACACTGGCCCTCTTGCACAAGTATTCTTGCGCAAGAGGGCTTATCCCTGAGCAGGAGCGTCAAAGTATTTGTGCAAGAAGCACTGAATTCTTACATTAGAACGTCAGTGCTCTTGCGCAAATTCAAGCGTCCAGTGTAGACAGCTGGCAAGTTTTTGCGCAAAAGCGGATGCTTTTGTGCAAAATCTTGCCAGTCCAGATGCACCCTCATGGAATGCGGGTTACAGGAACACCAGAATAGCACACCCATTATTTCAAAATATATTTAAAGATGCAGTTTAAAGATGCGTGTTTAAAGATTCAGAATTGCTATTTCTGGATACTTCTGGTTAAGGATGTTAAATATTGATTAATTGACAAGTTGAGTAGTTGATGAAATTTTCATCAACTACTTGACTAGTCAATGAGCACTTCTGCATTCCTCCTTTGAGATGTACAAGAGCCCTCACTGGGGCTCTTGTATATTTCAAAGGAGGAATGTGGAACTCTGCATGCAGCCTGTGTCCAGCAGGAAGTCCCGCTGACTCTGGGCTGCACGCAGGCGTGCCAGTTTTGAAATGTACAAGAGTCCCCCAGTGGGGGCTCTTGTGCAGTCCAAAGCCACAGCACAGCATGGAGCCTGGGGTTAATGGGGGACTCAAAGTTCCCAATGAACCCTGGCTTTATGCTGCGCTGCCGATTTGAAATGCCAGGCGGAATTGGGATCATCTGGGGACTCCCCAGCTGACCCCGGGTTTCCCATGGCATTTCAGCTGAACCCAGGATCAGCTGGGAACTCCCTAGTTGACCCCAGGTTCCACACAGCATTTCCCCAGAACCTGGGGTCAGCAGAGGCAGAGTTCAAAGGGCAGTGCCACACAGTTGAGCCACTATGGATCAGCTGTGCAGTGCTGCACTCTGAACGCTGCCTCGGTGTTTCAAAGGGGCAGCAAAGGGGGAGGAAGAAGGTACTTCAAAGGGGCAGCACCTCACTGCTCCTTTGAAACGTGGAGGCAGCGTTCAAAGGGCAGTGCCACATAGTCGACTAGTTGACTAGTCCTTAACATCCTTACTTTCGGTATCCCAAAATGGCCCCGCTATCTAGACGTAGCCTAACAGAGCAAAGGCCCACAGTTGTTCACAACACAATACAAGCCCCAGAGCGTCAATGAGTCTCTTCCCAAATCCTTAAGCCAGTACAGAGATGAGAACTTATCTAGAATATGCTGCACTGCATTTGGGCAATGTACAACAAATAGCTAAGCTTTTAATACCTGTTTTACTCATGGGAAAAGCTTTTTTTCAAGCCCCAAAATGGCCTGGATCAGTTATGAGCTGGATTAGTCATGGCGCTCTGACCCTAATAGAACCAACTTCTTTATACCCTCCACATTTCTCTTCCTCTGTTTTTGCTCTCATCCTTATCCAAAATATCATGGAACAGTTTGTTCCAGAAGGGCATTGGCAGAATTACTGGAGCAGAGATGGGGAATAGATAAGTAATTAATATTTGTACAGTATTATGGCAGAGAGAAACAATACTGTGTAAAGTAAGAGTTGATTATACAGTCCCCATGTAGCTACAGCAGTACTCAAATTCCCATTTAAAAGATTGACATCTCTGTTTAGGGTGCCAGCGTTCTCTGTTGCCCTGTCCAAACATGTTGCAAAATCAGTAGGAGAGGGAAGGGCAACTTCATGGTGCCCAAACTCAACCATTAGCTCAGCAGGACAGAGCACCATAGCATCACGGCCTTCTTTTCTTCATCCTTGTTTTGACAGAGAACACAATGCAGAGGTGTGAAGCTCTGCGAGTCATGCCTGACTTCCACAAGGCAGAGTGCAGACATGCTAAAGCTGCTATGGTTGAGCAGATGGTTGAAATTATGCAGAGGAAGTGGTGGGGGGAGAACATCTTTGCTTTCACCAGCCTTTCTGCCACTCAACATGGGAGCAGCAAAAAGCTACATTGGCTGCAGTCAGTCCCCATCCCTTTGCCTGTAAGGCAGTCAGTTTGAAGATAAGCATGCAGCTGTGATAGGGATGTAAGTGAGTAGTCAAGTGCTCAATTACTCACTTCCGCCCTTGCTGCCTCTGTATCAGGAGCTGATGCTGCATGCCCTCCCCCTGCTGCTGCATCTATCAGAGGCAGTGGGGGGAGGGGGCGGGCATAAGGGAGTAGGGGAGGCTTGATCTTCTCTAGGAAGACTTCCCCTTAGCCTAGCTCCATCCTCTACCTTTCTACAGCATCTAATGGACTGCCTCTTCCATTCCTGGCTCATACTTTGGACTGACTGAGTTCGATCTGCCACAATCTGTGCTCCCTGGCAGCTTGCACACCTTTGCAAGCCAGCTTGTCCTTAATATTCTGAGTCTCTGCAGCAGCCTCTCCCACTGTTCCCTGGTTCCTGCTTTTCCGATGAAGCTGCATATCTACATGGCAGATTACTATTAGGCTGTCTCTTCCCAGCCTCCATCTTGCCAAGCCACTGGACTGCTACAGTCTTTCACCTCCAACCCCTTTTATGGCTGCATTTCAAGTGGGTGCTGCTGGTCTCATTCCCCAGGAACTACATTCTACCAGCATTCTCTTTAGTGCTTAATTGCCCTGAGGCACTGCCACTGTCTCTTGACTTGGCCTTCCAGGTGATAAAGGGAAGAATAGAGACAGGGGTGAGCTAAATTCTGCTCTTCTTGCCTCAGCTATTACAGATAGTCTCTTTTGGTGCATCTACACTGCACCCCAAGTTTGAAATAAGATACACAATTTGAGCTACACAAATTGTGTAGCTTATTTCGATGTTATTTTGAAATAGCTTATTTGGAAATTTGGCACTGTCTACACAGCACTTACTTTTTAAATAAAATGCTATTTCAAAATGTCCCTTACTTCTCGTAGAATGAGGTTTACAGGGACGTTGGAATAGCGAGCCTGTTATATTTTGAAATAACGGGCGTGCTAAAAGGATGCGGAATAGCTATTTCAGGAAACCTCCTGTATCCTGAAATAGCACTGCTGTGTAGACATAGCCTTTGTGACCAGGCTCCTTCAAGACATCCCAGATATCTAACAACTACTAATTTATTAGATTTATATGAATAACCATACTTTATAAAATTAAAGCAAAAGCTCACGGTAGCCAGTATGCAGCTGCTCTAGCCCAGGCTTAGCCTGGTCAGGACACCAGGGCTACGTATACACTGCAGCATATTTTGGGTTACTGGAGCTATTCCTTGTCTTTTGAGTGCGCCCTTTATTTCAAAATATAACAGCCTTGCTATTCCGACATCTCTGTAAACCTCATTCCATGAGTAGTAAGAGATGTTTCAGAATAGTGGTTTATTTCTAAATCAGTGCTGTGTAGACATCACCATATTTCGAAATAACCTATTTTGAAATAACATTTAAATCAGAGATACAATTTGCGTAGCTCAAATTGCATATCTTATTTAGACCTACGGTACAGTGTAGATGCACGCTTGCAGTAATACCCTTATTCTCACAAAAGGGGTCCCGGACCTTTAGTTATCTGAACGAGAATTCAAAGGATCCATTGCCAAGGTTTCAGTCTTACTAAAGAGAGCACACTACTCCAGAGTAGGTCTCATGGTTTTACTGTCACTGTTGCATGTCTTAGAAGTGCTCAATAGCTAACAGAAGTAGGCCTATATTGTGCCCTTTAGATTATTTTGAATAATGAAGCCTTACGTGGGAAGGCTAGTAACATCGTCTCAGTATTACAGCTAGATACAGAGAAGCACAGAGATATAAATTGACTCATTCCTCAGGGTTACAAAGTGAGTCAGTAATCAGAGTTGGACACAAAATCCTCATTCCCAGTCTCCTGTTTAACTGCAGGACCACCTAGTAAATATAATCTTTGTTTTATCATCTACGTTAAAAGGATAATAAAAATTCTGGCTCAAAAAACAATCATCAGGCTAAGTAAAGCTGTTCTTCTGACAAAAGGCTGAGAAATCTCACCCTGCATCAGCTGAAGTGAAGTGAGATTCCTGGTCATTCTACTATTAGGAAAAGTCTCCATCCTTTAGAAAATTTCAGTCTATTTGTCAATGGAGCCATGTGACAATCTGGATAGTTTTGGTGAGGTGTTAATGCGGAAGTGATAGCAGCTTGGTGACATTTGGGGTATTCCCTGAAAAGGAGACTTCATGAATCTTTGCATCAAAACAAGAACTGAAAGTGGATTAGAGCAGACGTAAAACAGACAAACAGGGGCAGCAGTATAAGAGGTGGGGGAAGGTATTGCCTTCCCAAACCACTAGCTGGGCCTCACCCATACTCCACCTCCAGAATGCCTACTGTAGGTGTATTGCAGGCAGACCGTTGCTGCCCTCAAGCACCTACCTTCTTCATGCTCTGGGACTGGGGCAGCTTGAGCTGCATGCCACTCCACCTCCCCATGCTATGGGACCAGGAAGGCTGAGGCCATGTGCTGCCCCACTTCCCACTGGTGCTTGGGGAGAGGGGAGGTTGGTTCTCTAATGGGGGTCTGAGCAGAAGGGGTGGGGCTGCAGGCAGATCGGGAGGCTTGCCTCCCCCAGACCTACCTGTACCCCCCCACCCATGCAGGCAACTTTCAGTCTGAATAACTTTTAAAAGGACCAGCCTGAAGAACATTAAAAATTAAAGTAGACCCTTATCTGAACTGCTTGCGTACTCCATAACCCAGTACAGCCTGCACACTCCTAAACCTTCTGCCTAGGTACTAGCCCCAATGGTACTTAGGTTGTGCTGCTGGGCTATGGCAGATTGTAATACCACTAAGGGATAGATTTTTAAAAGAGCCCAGCACCCAATCGTTCTTACTGACTGCATCAGAAACTATTGCATGTTGAATAGTAATAGAAATGTAGCCGTGTTAGTCTGGTCTTGCGGAAACAAAAGACAGGACTATGCAGCACTTTAAAGACTAACGAGATGGTTTATTAGGTGATGAGCTTTCATGAGCCAGACCCACTTCCTCAGATCAAATTGTGGAAGAAAATTGGCATGACCATATATACCAAAGGGATACAATCAAAAAAAAGTGAACACATATAAAATAGATAAATCAGATTTTAGAACAGAGGGATAATGGGGGAGGGAGGTTAATGTCTATGAGGTAATGATATTAGTGGTGATAATTGGGGAAGCTATCTTTGTAATGGGTGAGATAATTAGGATCTTTGTTAAGCCTCATTCGTAAAAGTCAAATTTAGCATGAATGACAGTTCAGAGGCTCTCTTTGAAGCAGGTCGGGTACAAAGTAGATTTCTGTAGTTTATTAAAAGACTCAGGCAAGTGAAAATGTCTCGGGTAAGAACTGTCATGACCATTATGTGTTGTTGAGAAGAACCCTTGATCACGCAAGTATCGAGACACAGGAATATGATAACTCCCCACTTTGAGGAAGGCTGTGACTATTGCCAAGGTCTTTGAAAACACACGTGGTGCTGTCAATAGTCCAAAGGGGAGAACACGATATCAGTAATATTCTTTGCCCACCACAAAGGAGGTTACTCACTCTGTGCAGTAATGAGTGTTCTTCAAGATGCATGTTCCCACGGGTGCTCCACTTTTGGTGTCGGGCTCATCCCGGCACTGCAGATCAGGCTGCGCATGCATGGGAGGCGTGTGCCATTCATGCCTTTGGAGATTGTGCGCACAGCCAGACTCCCTTCAGTTTCTTCGTGTATCCCCTCTAGCATGATAAAGGTGAAGAAGAGGGGAGGAGAGTGGGTCTGAATTGGAAATCGTCTGTGCCAGGAAGATTGTTGCCAGTGTGACCAACTTAAACTGCTGTTTGCGGAAGTATTTGTTTAGATGACAGAAGTTGAGGATGGGTCTCCAACCACCAGCCCACTTTCTATGAGGATGTAATTTAAATAGCCCCTGCCCTGATATTGCTTGGGTTAGGGCTAGGGTTACATAGGGGCCCTCTTTATGGCCCCTATGTAAAGGAGGCAGTATACCTGTTAACGACATAACTGTGAGAGGGGTCCCTGAAGAGGGATGAGGAGGGTATGGGGGAGGGAGGTGTGGGGAGCTTGGTGGAACTGAAACCAGTGGGATAGAATAACTGAACTTGACAATTTCTAGAACTCAATGGTCTGTGGCAATTGCTACTCACTGACTGTAGTAAGGGTGCAAACAATGATGGAATATGATGAATTTGGAAGCACTGGTGGAGCAGAGGGGTCATGCAGGTCCCCAACCAAAGCCTCCAACCTGCTGTTTGGAGGCCTGTTGGTTGGACAAGTGGGTGTTAGAAGCCCACCGATGTTAATTCATTGTCCTGGAATAGTTCTGATTGAACGGTCTTTGCTGTTGCAGTCGGACAAATGAGAAGTCTCTCTGCCTCTGAAAGGGAATGTACTATCTCCTACAGTACGGGGGCATGTACATCCCTAAAGTACGCAGGGTGGTCCAGGAATCTTTGCTGGAATGAAGCACTTCATTTGTTTCTGCCACAAAGAGTTTGTCCTTATCAAATGGTAGGTCTTCAACCTTAGTTTGCTGCTAGCTCTTTGGGGACATCTGCTGCTTGTAGCCATGATGAACACCTCATTACTATTGACCTTTCAGCAGTATTAGCAGATTCTACCACCATTTGCATCGCTGTGCAGGATATATTGTAACCTTCCTACACTATACATTTTAATATTGGCCTTTTATCATCCAGGAGATGTTGCATTAGTTCCATCAATTTTGCATAATTATCAAAATCATGATTGGCTAATTATGCAGTGTAATTGGCTATACAAAGCTT